TTTAAAAGAAATCCAGAGCTAAAATTACAATATACAAACTTTATGCGGGAATATCAAGATTTAGGTCATATGTCTGAATCACCCACGAAAGAACAATATCCATCATATTTTTTATGTCATCATGCTGTCTTTAAAGAGGAGAGTGAGTCAACCAAAATTCGAGTCGTGTTCGATGGCTCCTCTCCCACAACTTCAGGATATTCTTTAAACGATATATTGATGGTGGGCCCTAACGTCCAACAGTCGCTTTTTTCCATATTGGTCAGAGCCCGTCAACACAAATTTCTCTTGACCGGTGACATAGCTAAAATGTACCGTCAAATAAATGTCAATGAAGAAGACAGGGACTTGCAACTGATCTTGTGGAGGGAAAATGAGAATGAGCCCATTAAAACATGGCGTCTCAATACTACAACATATGGTACTGCAAGCGCTAGTTACTTGAGTACTAGATGTTTAAACCAAGTTGGAGAGGAATGTGGTGAACAATTCATCAAAGATATCATACAAAAGGATTTCTATGTTGATGATTTGATCACCGGCTGTGATAATGAACTAGAGTTACGTCACATACTAAATTCAGTAACAAACGCCCTAAATTCAGCATGTTTCCCCTTGAGGAAATTTAAAACAAATTCAAAGGTTTTGTTTGAAGATTCAGATTTGAGTTCTGCAGATGTCTTAACGTTAAGTGAGTCTTCGCACACCCTGGGTCTTGGTTGGGACCCTGTGAATGATACTTTCAACTTTCCAATCAAGGTTAATACTGACATTGATATAAGCACCATCACAAAAAGAATTATACTGTCGCTTTCATTTCAAATCTATGACCCGCTTGGTCTTTTGAGCCCCTGCATTATTCAAGCAAAAATATTAGTCCAAAGGCTATGGCTAGAAGGAATAGGATGGGATGAACCCATTTCTGTGGATCTTAGGGAGAAGTGGTCTGAAATCTACAATAACCTGTCTTTTCTTGCAAGTCTTCAGATTCCCCGCAGGGTGCTGTGCGAGTCTCCGACATCTTTTGAGCTGCATACCTTTAGTGACGCTTCGCAATGCGCTTATGGTGCTTGTGTATACTTGAGATCCACGAGCTGTGACAACGAGATCACGGTGAGGCTACTATGCTCAAAGTCAAAGGTGGCACCTCTTAAACCGTGCACCATACCTCGTCTCGAACTCTGTGCCGCATTGTTAGCTGCTAGACTGTCTAGGAGTGTACTTGATTCATTAAGAGGGCTCCCTACTCGTACGTTTCACTGGTGCGACTCGAGTGTGGTGTTGGGATGGATTAACAGTAATCCAATGAAGCTTAAGCAATTTGTTGCTAACAGAATAGGCGAAATACTGGAATTAACTAATCCCAAATCGTGGTACTATGTTCCAACTGACTCCAATCCTGCTGATTTAATATCTCGTGGAGTCAATAGCAACCAGCTTTCTAGCATGGAATTGTGGTGGTCAGGTCCTAGTTATTTAAAAAAAAATGAATTAGAATGGCCCAAATTAAACGGAAAAACAGTAGTTGAGAACTTACCTGAAGTCAAGGTACTCACTATTGCGATCGTAGATGAGGGAATACCCTTAATCGACTTTAATAAATTTTCGAATTTTGATAAAGTACGTAGAATTCTGGCTTTCGTGTTGCGTTTTTGCCATAATATAAATTCTAAAACTAAATCCATGAAGTATACAGGGTATTTTAGGCCCGAGGAGTTGCAAAACTCATTTATTTTAATTTGCAAAATTAATCAATCATTGTGTTTTAAGGCAGAGTACGAGAAACTTTTGAAGGGCGTTGCGTTGAGCAGTAAATCGAAAATTTCGTCTCTATCACCATTTTTGGATGAGCAGTTTGTAATACGTGTTGGTGGTCGACTTGGTTCCTCCAACTACCCATTTGAAAAGAAGCATCCCATATTAATTGACTCCTCGCATCGTTCGACAAGGTTACTGTTTGAACGTGAACACATCAAAAATCTGCATGCTGGTCCACAGCTTCTACTGGCTACCTTGAGAGAAACCGTTTGGCCTATTAACGGCAGGAGGCTCGCTAGAAGTGTCGTAAGGGATTGTCTTGTTTGCAGCCGTGTGCGCGGCCAAACACTTTTAACCAGAATGGGCGATTTACCTGCATATCGCGTATCAGTTGATTTTCCATTTAGGACTGTTGGCGTAGATTATGCTGGTCCTTTTCTTATCCTAAATAGAAAGGGTCGAGGCGCTAAAGCAACAAAGTGTTATTTATATGTTTGCGATTCAAATGTATACATTTGGAGGCAGTGTCAGATTTATCAATGGAATCTTACATAATGACCTTCCGTAGATTTGTAGCGCGTCGTGGTAAGCCAACGGAGGTATATTCAGACAACGGTCGAAATTTTGTGGCAGCAGCCAAAGAATTGTCTAGTTTTTTAAAACAAAATAATAAACGTCTATCCGAGTTTGCATCTCAGGAGGAAGTAAAGTTTAATTTTATTCCGGCTTACGCTCCCCACTTTGGCGGAATGTGGGAGGCTGGTGTGAAATCCGCAAAGTATCATATTAAAAGAGTAATGGGAAATACGCATCTTACGTTCGAGGAATTTAGTACATTATTAGCACAAGTAGAAGCAATTTTAAACAGCCGTCCCCTTTGTCCCATGTCTTCCTCTCCAAATGACTTACTTTCCTTATCCCCCGGGCACTTTTTGATTGGAAGACCTTTGAATGCTTTACCATCAGCCGCACTGGAGGACCTGAAGGAGACATCTTTAAGCCGCTTCGCCCGTTTGGAGCAGATACGTCAGCATTTTTGGAGAAGATGGCAGAAGGAGTACATAACCGAATTGCAACAACGAACAAAGTGGAAGACAACAAGGGCGACGCTTAATGTTGGAGATTTAGTACTGATTCACGAAGATAATAATCCCCCGCTAAATTGGAGGATGGGTAGAGTTACACGATTATATCCTGGATCAGATGGGATTTCTAGAGTCGCTGATATTCATACCACTAAAGGATGTATACGTCGGCCGTTGGTTCGACTCTGCCGACTTCCCGCTGCTGTTGAATTTAAAGGTTGAAGAACTTGGCTCTTCAACGGGGGGGAGTATGTTCGCGCCCCTATAAACCCCACATATACATACATATAAAAGAAAAGGAATATTACAAATCATAGCGAAAACTTGCATTTATATAACGGATGGCGCCATCTATTGAATGGGACACCGGAGCGCTCTTAGCCCAAGCGTCATTGGTTGTCGCCGGCAGATAGCAGATGTCGCCCGCGTTCGTGTGTTCGGCTGGTTTTACCGACCATAATGTCATGACTTGTTAAAATTGTTAAATTCATTCTGTCAAGAAAACTGTTACTGCTAAATTGATTTTATTATAACATAAAGCGAAATTACTAAAAACACCGAGTTTTTATTGAAGAAGACTCCACTCACACTCCTGTGTTATAAAACTTCAACATTTTTTCATCGGATTGATGACCTGTTACAAATATAAGACACTTTTACATTCAGTCGCACTAACTGAAGTTAATTTATATTTTCACAGGAAACGACACTTAAATTTCTAGTAATTCTTGTCTTGAAATCAAAGTAAGTTTTTTGACTGACTTCCAAAACTCTTAGCGAAAGAACATAAAAATCTAGTCCACAATAAAGGAAGCCGTTCATCACATTGCCAGCCTTGGCATTTGGAAAAATATAGGGATATATGACACAAAAAGATCTACACCCTCTTCCTATCCACATACATTATGCAGACTCGTCCCACTTTGAACTGACCACTAGAATCATGTTTGATATTGAATTTGCTTGCAACCCCGCTTTTGATGTCGATATTTTGAGCTGTTTAACTGAAACTGAACACTCTGCGCTCTTATTTGATACTGGAAACTCCAAGAATTTATGAAACAGTTATGCTTCTATGTTTAAAGTATTAAAGTACGTAGGTATTTCTAATAGATAAATTAAACTGCAGAAGAGTTTTGGATTTTCGAATTTTGTACATTACAATACATTCCATGAAACTGTTTATAATGAACTTTTAGTAAGCATTATTTTGTTTGAATGTGAAAAATTAATTAATCGTAATTTCTTGATTTACCTGCGTGCCAATAAAATTTTGAAATAAATCTAAGAGCTATATCGTTTCGAAATTAAAAACTAAAGTGCATTACAAAACGCAGAAACAGAAAAAAAGAGATGTACCTTAAATACATTTTTATCTGGAAATATCCGCGAATCGTTGGAGTTAGACTTGGCGTGCTGGAAATTGTGCTAACGGTGGTCATTAACGATAAATGTTTCGACGTGAAACGGAAGTTATTGAGACATTTGGTTTTTGTTTGCGTTCTGGGCTTCAGTCGCAGTAATTTTATATTTGCCGTTCGTAAATAACATAATCAATAGCTTTGACTACTGATTCCATAAATTATAATAGAACGTCAAATTATTTCAGTGGTTACTTATTTATTGTTATGGAATAGGTAGCAAAGAAGCATATTATTATGGGCCGCACGAAGGAAAGGGTCGATCAGTTTTCAGTACTTTTCATTTTTCTCATATAATAATCTGAATTAGTCTAGCTATTCAAAGGGGGAACGCTGCCAGTATCTTTGGAACCTTGCCTAAAGGGACACCTTTTAGTGATGTATTTTAGTTATTATATATTTTAGTTTTTGTTTAGTTTTAGTTATTACGTTATATTTTTGAAGGTTCTTAGTTTAAGGTTCATTTATAAATTGTGAAGATATAGATAATCTGAGACGCACATGTGATAATCTTGTAATCTTTAAGGTCCTGAAAATCTTACTCTCGCAAGAATACAACACCAAAAACATTGTTCTTTGGCTACAGTCTTCTGTAAGGTAGTTTTTAATAACCATGATGGTCGCAACTCGAGTATAATACATGCTGTGTCCTCCATTCCTGAAGTAATTTTTATGTTCTCGGCAAAAACAAAGTAATAAAATAGTTAAAAGTATACATTAGTCATGTAATCCTTACCTTGAACAGGTGTATAAATATTCATATACAGGCAATCTTCGCTCTGGTTCTTCAGCCTAGGCAGCAACCTCCTCAGATACTCCAACCTTCCTTTTGGCATCTTCTCTAGGGCTAGCGTTTCGTTGCCGATGTCAGGTAGTCTTTGGGGACAGACGGGGCCCATTTGATCTACGGTTTTGACGTCGTCCCACGGCGCTGGAGCTCTCGTGGGTGCAAATCTGTTAGCAGATTTTTCACAATTTTGGTTTACGTTATATTTAAAGACGCCATTACTGTGTATGAAAATATAAGATACAAGTTAACATTACATTTTAAGGTTTAGATAGAGAAAATGAAAGAAAAAGACAGACTGTATCAGACGTTGTCATTATCAACAAAACATAACTAATCTGACGACCTCCGTGATCGAGTGTTATATACACCGGTTTCAAGATGTCCCTTACTCGTGTTCGACCTGGGTTTGAATCCCGGTGGGGGCAAATGTTAGTATGAAGAATACGAGCATCTTTACCTTAGTCATGGATATTTATAGGTATTTCTAAATAACAATGTACTTAAATATGTATCAGTATATGTGTTCTCTTTGTTACCCTAGTATACCATAACACAAGCGTATTAGTGCTTACTTTGGGGCTAGCCTGAAAATATCTATTTTTAGTTATTTACTATACCTTAAAGTTTATTACAAATGACCACTACCATACAAAGTAATGGAGGAGTGGCGGTATGATGTTGTTACTGATATAGGTATATTTATTTGTGTAATGAGCATTTATACCTGCATCTAAATATTTTTCATATCGCGTTAGAAATATGAATTATGAGTAAAGGAAGTAAACATTTTTCGTTGGAAAAGAAAATTTTTCATTGTATTTAGGCAAATGTCAAATCTAATATTATTCGTTAGACCATGAAAGGAAAAGTAAACGAACGACGGAAAGAAACGCTGATTTAGCATTCATGAATTGCCACCAAAACATTTTCTTTACTGAAAGCTTATTTCATTCAGATAAACGTAAATATTTGACATCTCCACTGTGGCACAGATTTGGCCGAAACTACGAAAATAACTTTTTAGAATTGCTTTTCTTGTTTGAATTTCTGTAAATTAAAATTACAGTCTTTTGTTATTCTTTACTTCAATGGTCTCCAAATTCTACAACTATGATCAAATATTTTTGTAACAACAATAGAAAAACATCATGTTCAATTGCAACTTATTAATAAGTAAAGGAAATCCAATTCTAAACACATACCTGTTAGAACCAGTCGGTGGAGTAGCGTACGGAACACCCAAATAAGCCTCGACGGGCTTCAAATATTTATGCTGATCCATCGGCAATATGACACCTTGCAGCTTGCCGTATCGTGTGCCAATTATCCTGGTTCTTAGCATTGAATTCCTACCGCCGAAATTATTCCCACTCGAGTTTTGTGACAGCAATAATACTAACAGCAAAACCAACTTGAGCTTCTCCTTCACATCCAAGTTAAGGCTTTTCTTCAGCTTCACCTGCGTCTCCCTCTGTATTAAATCTAACGTATATTTTATATTGATGACTACTTTTAACCAGTACTGTTTTATCGAATTGCAAAGATGTAGTGGCAGTCTGTCGGTAGCCATTTTCTGTAAATATCACCTATGTGACCCCATTTCTTTTATTCAGTCTCTAACGAATAGGAGGTCGATCTCATCGGTTGGGAAATCACGCCATTTTAATTAAGTTTTACCTTTCTGATTAGGACAGCATTTTACTAAGCACATCCAATTTGGTACCTGTAACAAGAGAACAATTATTATGAAATTATTTAGGTAACGTCAAAATATATAACGTCCTAATTGGTCATGTTGTATTTTGATATCATAGTAATGTTTGATCAAAATACTCAAAAGTCAAAGGACAATTACCGCTACTGTAATCCAACTATTCAGTTATTTCCTTATTAACTTGCTAAATTAGAAAGCATAGTATTATCAACTACTCCATGATTTTTTATACGAATGACTATTATAGAATATTATTTTACATTAGTTGTCTGTCCCTCTCTACTAACATAATAATATGCAAAATGTAGCTTTGAGTCTAGTATTCTTAACCTTAGTTTGTCTGAGGCCTACGACAAAAATAAACGATAATCGGTTTAGATGATTGGGCTGAAATTTTTCATATTTTGGTTTGTAAGGCATTTAAAAACAAGCTTTGGTGAAAAAATATTTTATCTTCTTTGTAGTAGACCTTCTGATTCTTCAATGGTATAGCGTAAAACCATATAATGTACTCAAACTCCATTTAAAACGGCCATCTGACGCTTACAGAAATAAACCATTAGCATTTATTGCGAAGAAACATCAATTAGCGTTAAGCAATTCCCTAGCTATACGGGCAATTTCTTGTGAATTAGTAGAAAAGTTATTGAGTAAATTTACTGACTGCTTCTTTGTGTGCGTCGTAGCCAACAAGAAACTTGCCAATTGACCTAATTAAACTATCAAGAACTGCAACACTTACATGCTGTGGAGCTTCTTCAGTGATAACTTCTTATTGTAAATATAAGTAAATAAAATTAGCTTACTTGTTGTTTTAATGGAACCTGACGTGATTTCCTATTAGTTTACTTGTTATATTTCACTTTGGAACTAAAAACAATTGAAATATGTATGTAAATTTGACTTTATAATTATTTGTATAAATTGAAATCATTTTCATTGTTTCCAGTTCTAAGGCGAACAGCGGAAAGGCTTATTATATTATTAATAAGATTATGTTTTAATAATTAAGTAGGCAATTATGAGTACAGAACTGCATTGAAATCACTAAGAAGAAGCTACTTGAAAACAATATGCCTATAAAATATGCAGAATTGCTAGAACATTTCCCTAAATCTGGCTACCTGTTATGGGGGATGACTTCTATGTACAAGTTGATGGTTTTGCGATGGGTTCTGTCTCACCTGTTGTCGCCGATATTTTCATGGAAGACTTCGAGAAGAGGGCTTTAAGCGTGGCACCTGTCACACCCAGGCTATACAAGCGGTACGAAGATGATAATTTCACAAACCTCCCAACAGATCAAGTTTTTGCTTTTATAAATCACATTAACTCCATATACCCCAGCATCCAATTTACTATAGAGTTAAAGGCAGACAGTAAACTAGCTTTTCTAAATATTTAATTAGTCAGGATCCTGACAAAAGATTAAGCCATACTGTGTATCGTAAAGAACACATACTGATAGGTACCTAAGTGGTGACTCACGCCGTCACCTCAAACAGTTAGCAGCTGTAGGAAACTCTTTGTTTCAGAGAGCACGGGGCATCTGTGACAAACAAAACCTGGCTGAGCTTCAGCATGTCGAGCGAGTACTGTAGGATAATTAATCTGAATGTACCACGTTGCCGTCACAATCGCTCCAAACCTAGGACAGTCGACCGACAACCTGCTGAACTAACTTAAGTGAAAGCAGTCACTGACTAGATTGGGAGGATCCTGGAGCGTGTTTCGATCAATACTTACTTCAAGCCGATATAGAAGACCAACCAGTTTCTACGGCCTGTCAAGTGCGATATACCTTTTTAAGTTGCTAGTGTCTACAAACTTGAATACGACTGTGGGCTCTCCGACATCGGGCAAACAAAGAGGAGTATAGCAAGTCGGGTAAAATAACATATAGCAGATATGAAACATAGGCGCGAAAATAAGTCTGCAGTGCGTGAACATGCATAAGGGGGACCAAACCTTTACATTAGATTTGATAAACCACAGATCCTTGCAACGGAACAACGATTCATTTCTAGGATGATACACGAAGCTTTGAAACATTGAGATTAAGAAACATCCAAATTTCAACAGGGAAGATGGTTTGTGTATACCGCCAGCTTGGGAACCCATTATACAACAGATAAAATCCCAACCCCGAACACACACTGCAAGACTAACATACACTATTAGTTCTTTTTGTTTGCATGATTAACCATAAGAAGGAGACAACATTACAGAAAGCATCTCTGAGTCAGTTCTTCTCAGAAAGGTCTCCCAGTTTTGGAACTGGTGGTAGTAAACGGTAGTTAGGATCAAATAAATAAACTCAAATTTTAAAAAGTAATTAAATAAAGTACTTTTTTTATTAAAATAGCTAATAAATTCAGACATGACAATAAATATTTAGAAATATTCCAATATAATGTCTGAAAGCTCAATTAAAGTCTTTCGAAGGTAGCTCGACAGAGTTAAAAAAACATCATAATTCTGACGATGCAGCCTGAAAAGGATGCGAAATGTCATAAATAAAAAAATCAGTGCATCTATACCGTTGAAACTTGTTTTATTTAATGAGTGGTGTGCGTGAAACTTAAGAAACAAATAAATTACTGATATTAAGAGTTAGTAAAGTCCAGAGGCATCGTTTTCCGTATCAAAGTAGTTTGGAGACAGCGTGAGACAATTTAAAGATATTGCTTATGTACTCATATGTCTATATTGTATGAACTACCCGAGTTTTAAACTGCGCGATGGCAGGCGAGAGGCGGTCGGAGTCGGAATGACCTTAGTTTCAGCATAGGCCAGATATTTAAAGGTTTAACTTAAACTTATAAATAATAACGTAGTTTATGAAATTTCATTGTTCGTAGATAAGTATTCGCTTTTCTAGTGGTAAGTCAAGACTAATGTATTCATGATTGTTTTTTAACTGTTCTCGGTCTAGCATTTTTGAATAGATTAGGATCATCAGCATTTTAATTAAGTTTTTTTTTAATTATACTTTTCCCGCTACTTAAAGAATTATTTAGGAAACCTTCAACGGAGATACAAATGATACCTCAGAATCCTATTCATTAATGTACCACGCAACGTATGCCACAAATAAACGCTTAAAATTTTAGTTAAAAATGTAACGGACTAAGGTTTAACAAGTCATAACATAAAATTAGCCGTCAGTTCAACAACGTTAAGAGAATCATTATGAAAATGTGTATGAGTTTTTTGGAGCGCTAAATGCCGATGATTCCAACCGTGAATTCGCTCCGACAATGTAGTAAAACCGGATAAGCCGAACCCTGTTTGTTCGTTAACTTGAATTAATTATAGGGAAAAATTGTGTACCCTTTTTACAGTATATAGATATTCAATCAGATAAAGGCCGGGGCTTGCCGTTTTTTTTGCAACGCAGTCCTTTTGTTATGCCCGAAATGTTATCCACAAATCCTCTTTGTCTTTTTTTTCACATGTGGTCATGTTTCGGTTTGGATATTTAATTCATAAGCTGTCTAACAGTATTCCTGGAAATTCCGACTCCGATATTTCTCTTATTAAAGCTACGGTGTATTTTATTCGGTACAGATAAGATTTCAATCTATTTATGGGTATTGAAGTCTTCAAATAATTCAACATTGTTTATATCTTATCCGGAAAATATATTTAACTACAATGACAGATTCTTTAACACCATTTTCATGTAACGTTAGAATACAAAACACGATTTTGCAACGAAAGATATTCCTGACAGCAATAACCCATATTACTGATATTGCAAAAATCTCATATGTAATGATTGTGATCCCCAATCTGATATTGGGCTACATCGATCCCGCCCTCCCCCCAGAACGGGCACTGGATTCCCGTGAGACGTTAAAAAAGATGACAAATGGCTTACTCGATATTCGTCGGGAACGCTTGTGATAAATCAATAAAAGTGCCATTATACGTAAGAGGGGTACTGATGGGAAGTCGAGACGTCTAATGAAGTGTATTAAAATGCTTCCTTTCTATGTAATGTCTGCCCTTGGATGTCTTTTGTTTCCCATGGAAATGACCCCGATTGGCCAAATTGAAACTAACAAGATCTCAAAAAGGGTGGTTTTTTATTTCAAAGGCTTTCAAAGTGCCGCTGCTTCATTGAAATATGAGTAATAAAATTTGTCTACTTATTTAAGTTTATGATGATAAAGATAAAATTATCTAGAAAGATTCAATGGAGAAACAGTTTGCTCAATCAAGTTGAGATATTTTTTTCCAGGACAAGGTTAATTAAAAATATAAGTCAGGTGATGTGAATGCCTCCGTGTTATCTGAAATCATCTCTTATTTCAAGATATAAATGGCTGCAAGTTTAAAATACCTTTGTTAAACTTAATTGACTTTTCAAATAGGATTTTCTCTTTAATTTCTCAAAACCTTTTAACTACACTTTGTTTGTAAGCTAAGATACTTAAATCTACTTAAATTTGTTCCATACTTATTGAACTCATCTACTTAGTGAAATATCCTTTTAGTTCGAATCTTGGATTATAGTCAAAAGGAATTCGAATTTTAGATTTAGGAATTATTTAGAAAAAGTCATTTATAAAGAAGTGAATATCTAAAACCATGATTTGTTTTTAAGTTATGCAATTGTAAAGGTTTAGGTCTTTATCTTTGTTGTTTCTATATGAGATCTTTTTTATGAGATCAAGTTAAAACAATATGGAACATTTTAATTGTACCACAGGATCCACTCACACGTTCTGTTTCATGTTGTCCATCACCTTAATTTAGTATCATCGATGGACCCATGTGAGCAGGTAATTCTTATTTTTTTAATTAAAGTCCATTGTTAATATGTGTTCTTTCAACGTTTGATTATTGAA